AAAATAATTTTTTTTTTTTTTTTTTTTGAGGAGGGCTCTACCTTTGATTTTGGAAATGGCTTTGGCGACTTGTTTTTCACATCCCTCGCAATACATTGAAATTTTAAATTCTACTTCCACAACCTGTACCAATCACGACAATTAATAAAATCTCACAGTTTTCTCTACTTGAAAATAAATTCTATATCTACACAAACAAACAAAAAAAGAATAATCTTAGAGTATCACTTTTGCCGTTACTTTGTCTTGTTCCTTTTTCTTCTTGTTTGCCATTGGAAGTGATGGAACATTGAGACATTTGAAAATCCAAAAGTTGGTTAATTGCAGTTATGCTATTTATAGCAACGACCGAAAAGTCGCGCCCGGTTGGGCTTTAGATAATGTTTGGTTTTTCATTGTCTTTCCTTTAACCTTTATTTATTTATTTTTCCAAATATTGGTGGCTTTTTTTAAGACATTTAGTACAGTAAGAAAGACGTTAAACACTTGGAATAAAGTTTAAATTGCAATTAGTTAACCAAGATGCCCATAAACGTGCCATTATTATATTAACCTTCAAATCGAACTTTTAGAATTTTATTAGACTTTTAGGATTTGCATTTTGCTCAGGCTAAACGGCTAAACGACTTTTAGGATTTGCATTCTTTCTACTATCAGGTTGGCGTTTTTTTTTCAGCAGTGGCTTTATAACTTTCTCATTGTGATGAAAAACAATAAGGTTTCTCATTGTTAACTTGAATCAACAGTGTGTACTGAAGCACAAGTAGAAAATCCTCTTGTGTGATTTGTTGCCTCCAATTTTTAATTTCTTCAGCTTTATTCTCTCTTTAAAAAAACAACCATTCTAACAAGATTAAATGAGTTGTAGTAGATTTATTTCCCTTGTTGTACCTCTACTAATCCAAAGAAGTGAAAGAACAGCTACTATTACATGGAGTTGGAGAAGGCCCCGGGGCAAATACTTCTCTTATACACTCGCGTATCAAATTATATTGACTAACCAACCAACCATACCACGTGTTCCAATCTCAGGCAATATGTACATCTGACAAATATAATTTACTTCTTCTGATAATTCTAACAAACAGTTTTTTTGTTTACTTTTTCTGTGATAAGCAAATAATTATCCATTTTACAAAAAGTCAGAACTGAAACTGACCTAGGATACCTATTTTACAATAACTTCTTTGTGGGCTTTATATGACAGTATCACATTCCACACTAAAGCTATGAAGTTAGCAGCAAGGACCTGCAACAACAGGAGAGAGAATAGAACAGTCCGGTTGGTTAGAGTAGTATACGAACATGTAAATAAATCTGAACACAAGAAATAAACTACACGTAAATACTAGTAATTGCAAACAGACATTTGGTTCCAATTAGAGAATTAAAGGCTGTAAAAGCATGACTACAACTTATATGCATGCTTAGCATGTGAATGTATCACAATAATGATCGACAAAGAGGGTCAGGTGTCGAGTTCTTTGCAATATTGCTAAAACAACAGACTGAATCTCCAAATCTATGGTTTAGCAGAGTCTGCACACCTCAAAACACTTCAAGTATAGCTTGAAACTGCTAATCCAGCTTTATGTTAGTTATTTTTGCTAAGTATTTACATGAAGGATTGGGCGTTTTTGCTAATTCATAACAATAGATCAATTTTTTTTTTTATGAAGTAATGAGTTTTATAGAAAAAGGCATCAAGAAGATGCAAGAAGTACAAGAGAGGGGGAAAGAGTCAGCTTTGATACAAAAAAGAAAAGAAATACTAGGCTAAAGCAAAAGAGCTGACAAAATCCAAAAAGTTAATATGGATAGATCAATTTTTTTTTTTATGAAGTAATGAGTTTTATAGAAAAAGGCATCAAGAAGATGCAAGAAGTACAAGAGAGGGGGAAAGAGTCAGCTTTGATACAAAAAAGAAAAGAAATACTAGGCTAAAGCAAAAGAGCTGACAAAATCCAAAAAGTTAATATGGATAGATCAATTTTTTGAAGACATGTCTCCAAACTACTAGAGGTTGACAGGAAGCCATGCTCATAAGTCATAACCAAACAAAAGGATGAAATTGACTGTTTCACTAACCTGAAATTGCTGAGGTACAAACCGGAAGTTGATAAATTGAAAAGGTATCCATAGTTGCCAATTTGCAAGGACAGATGAGAACCACTCCTTTATTAAACAAAAAATAAATGTGAGTCAAAGTTCAGGAAAGTAACTATCAGTATGCATCTATCCAAGGGTCCATTCGAGTAAGAAGTATGAAATGAAGGCCATTTAGAATACCTGTTGAAGCTTTGGAATCACTTGTGATGACCTTCCCTCAAGTGTTACCAAAGAGGATAAGAAAACCCCAACAAAAATTGGAGCAAAGAGGAACTGTATCAAAGCAGCTCAAATTCAATGGCGATATCCCTCAGAAGGCAGTAATTACTCCAGTAAATAAGACATTATCACTAAATGAAAAAGAAGGAAAACCTGATCTAGTACAAGGCGCATGACAGCACCAGAGGCCCCTGGAGTTGTGACCAATCTACTCAAGTAGAGGTACCTATATATATCAGAGTCAGAACATGAGGAGCTACTCTATAATGCCATTAGGAACATTCTACCCCAGGGCATTCACCAAACAAAAAAGTTATGCACCCATATCTGGTAGACACATATAATTTTTAGGATCTTTACATAAATAGTCGGCCGGATTCATTGTTTACTTTTCCTAGCCCGGTATTCATAGATTATACACTGATTATACATGGTTATAAACATATTATACATGGATTATACATATAATATACATCCGCCGGCTATTTTTAGTTTAAGCGGTTGGGTGGGCAGCTATTTACGTTAATTCTTCTATATTCAAAAAATAGTAAATAATCCTACAGAAGTTTTAAAAGTCAAGCTCATTAACGACGAATAGAAATAAGCTTTTGAGATTGCACGTAAAATTAAAATTGATCATGAGAAACAAAATTGAAGATCTAGAACCACCCTCAACAATTTCCATCATAAAATACAGTGATAGACCTGCAGTTAGTATCATTTAAACCGACTGATGAAAATCGGATGAAATTACTTTACATATTGTCCAGTGAATTGATATAGCAAACGCATAAAAATCATTATAGGAAGATAAAAAGGGACATACAAATAAGGAGCATCTTCTATTTTTGTATTCCCAGTTTAAGTACTCGGTTAGAAAGACAGGTGTCCAACAGATTAGGCATCAGTAAGCAGTAAATGACATAACAACAACACCAGTTTCGGTAGAAGGTTGAGATACACAGACCAAAATACAAGCTGTACAAGCATATTCAGAGCTGTATAGGGAGGAAAAAATAAAGGGCTGTGAAGATATTACCAAAAGTGCAAAGATGGACCCACCAAGACCAGCCCCAATAATGTGAATATAAACGTCCTCTTTACATCAACAGATGCTACTTGGTCAATCCACAGCTGTGACACATAGCCAGCAATTAAAAGGTGAAGGAAATAGAAAAATAGCTTGAAAGCATCGCGAAGAGAATATATTTCAAGGAGGCAAAAGATGGTATCACTAATTTAAAGCAGTGGTCAATGATTGCAAGCAGGGATACTGAGTTGCTGACGCTTTGCACAGTAAGAAGGGAAGTGAAAAGACGGAATTTGATGGAGAGAAAGGAAGGAAGGAGTGTGATTAGACACCAAATAAAATTAATATAATGATCATATGGTTCATAATGCCTACTGTCTTTTATGACATTACAAAATTTCATCAATGGAGGTTTCCCTTCTCCACATTTGTATAGAAAGGGAACTTGGTGTTTTGTTCATGACCCAATGCATCCTTTTTCCTTCCTTTCTCTCTCTATAATCAATTCAAAAAAAAAACTGCAGCCATCCCGCTCCTTTCCTCCCTTTCTCTCAATCCAAAAGATCTATACACATTTGGACAGGAAAACTTGACGTTTCCTTCATGATCCTATCCATCCTTTTATCTCATTTTCCTTTCCTTTCTCTCTCTAAAATCATTTTGAAAAAGAAAATTTTACGCTTGCGCCCTTCCACCGCTTCTTTCTCTTCCGTTCTTTCAATCCAGAAAATATCAGGAATTACCATCTCCAACACCAAAATCCTTACCATAGTAGGAATACCATAACTACACATGACAAGTTATGACGATGCTAAGCATAAAGTAGAATAAACATTTAACATCGTTAATCCAAAACCACGTACCAAAGGATATATTTGATGATTAAAGGAAATAGAGTTCATTATAAGCTTACTTCATCAAGTGTCAGAATTAACAACTATTACTAAGTCAAACAATCCGGGATCTCTGATTTGTGAAAGGTTGTAACAGTAGCATCAATAGACAACACATGCACTAGCATAGACAAGCACAGTGTGAAAAAAGAGTTCATCCTCAACAGTCTCTATTGATTCTTGAAGCTTGAATTTCATTTTTAGTGAGTTTTACCTGACAGATTAGATCTCCAAAAAGTGTCAAAAGAGCAGATGTAACTGCTTTTGTCCATACTGGATACTTCTCGAGAAGAGATAAGTACCTACAGCAGAAGTAACAATTATTCTCGGGCCGAGATGATACAGTTAACAACATTGTTGAGATACGACTTACAAGAAAAATGAAGCTTTACAGTATCACACACACAGAGTTAACAACATTGTCGAGATACGACTTACAAGAAAAATGAAGCTTTACAGTATCACACACACAGAGTTAACAACATTGTCGAGATACGACTTACAAGAAAAATGAAGCTTTATAGTACTGTGTGTGTGTGTGTATAATTCCTTTCTTTTTTTGTAAAAAAAGCTAGAGTATATAATATTCTTTATTATTAGGATTCAGCATAAATTGGTTGATTTTATGTTGGCTGCCAGCGTACCACAATCCCCCTCCTTTATATAAGCAAGTTCACAATAGGCAAACATTCATATACGCGAACCCATCTTGTTTGGAACTGAGGCATGATTGTTGTTGTTATAGAGTATATATTAATTTTAAAGCAATAGAAATTGTGAGAGAGACATAACCACTGAATAAAGAAGTCAAGCAGGTTCCATATGTGCTGGCATTGATAGCTTGATATGCAATATTCATGCTTTTT